GGGAGTGGCCACTGCACTCCAGTCTGGGTGACAGAGTGAGGCTCCAACTCCAAAAAAAAAGAATGTAAAAAGGAACTTGAATTTGACTTTTTCCACGTGACAGAGAAATGTGAAGACAGCAGAATAAGATTCAGTTTGTGAATTGGTTAGTGAATTGTGACTCCTTAGTACCATGTCTTCCAAGTATTTGAGGTTGTCTCAGCAGATAGAATTGGAATGATTCTTCTTAAAATTAAAAAATGCTATAAATAACAATAATAATATGAACAACTAATGGTGATGGAAACACTTATTGATCTACTTACTGTATACCAGTGCTGTTCTAAGCATTCTTCATGTCCTAAATAATTGAATCCTTACAGTGACTGTGTGAGGTAGGAGCTGCGATCCTCATTTGAGCTAGGAGGAAATGAGATCCAGGGAGATTAAGTCAATTTGCTGCAGGGCACACAGCTCAGTGAGTTTTGAACCAAGATTTAAACAGTTATTTTTTTGAAATATCACAACCACTAGTGATATAAGAATTGGTACTCAGTTGCATATACTATGTCTATAATCCTCTTATGTTTTTTCAGTTACATACAAAGGGTGCCTTTGAAGCATTTTATTATGGAGACATCAAATGAATTTGCTTTTTATTGTTGAATAGTATTCTTTATTGTTGTTTCATATATTTTGTTGTTTCATTTGTTTACTTTTCAAAAAAATAACAGAGAACAGTAATTTTTTAAAGATTGATAAATCAGAAGGTTAAATTGTTTTTTAAAAATGTCAAAGAAAAAGCTGGATGTTACCATCTACATTTGTTGTTTCTGCAGTGGTATGGTATGGTGCAAAGGACACAAACAAATTGCGTGTTCTTTGGGAAGACTTATAAAACTCAAAATTGTTTTAGAATTTAAGGTCTCAATTCTAGGAATAATTTGATAAAAAATCAGCATCCTGCTAGAGGAACATGTAGCCTCAGGAGCCAAACCATTCTTTAGTGACTTCAAGTGGCGGTATATATTTAAGATTCATGAGGGTTTTTCTCAGAGGTCTTTTCCCCTTCTGGGAGAACTTGTCTGCTTTCATTTTAAAGAACTTTTAATACAGCTGGTCCTCTGTGTGTGTGGGTTCCACATCCATACATTCAGCACCACAGATTGAAAATATTCTGGAAAAAAAAATTCTATAAAGTTCTAGAAATCAATACTGGAATTTGCCACATGCTGATTACTATGTGAATGAAGTGATGTGTTAGGTATTTATAAGTACTATAGAGATGACTTAAAGTATATGAGAGGGTATGCATAGGTTATATGCACACATGCCATCTTATGTCATGACTTGGGCATCCCAAATTTTGCTATCTGAGGGATGTCCTAGAACCAATCCCCATAGATACCAAAGGATGACTTTAATTTAAGAGGCCATTGAGTTCTTTTCAGAGTTCTGTTCCCTGATGGTAGTACATGTGATTTTCCTAACAGTACCCTAGACACTTCTTTTTCTGTTCCTCTTCCACTTTTTAATTTTTCTGCTAATCAACTTAGTAGTATCCTGGAGTCTTTCTCCAACATTCTGATGCACATATTTAAACTCCAGTATGTATTTTTATTTCTCTTATGCCAATTTACTTCATCTGCAAAGTGATTAAGTTAAATTAGAGACCCTGCAAAGTTCCTTTCATTTCATAGGCCACTGCCTAAAGGTTTAGTTGTTACAGCCCCAGAAGAGGTTACTGAATGTAAATTTTACTTCAAAGGCGATTTTGCTGCAAAGCACTGCCCCTGTTCTCTTAGTTCGTTCTAGTAGCAGAGGCCCAAGTGGGGTGACTAGCCACTGGAGTATGAGAAGAAAATATTACAACATCAATTTGTATTTTTTAAATGTAAAAATATTTAAACTTTGCAGTACTTGAATGCGTGAAATAATAGTAGCATGATGAATACATATCTTTTGAAGTTATGTGGTCAGACCTTTTTTGGTGATGGTGTATGATCCAAATAGTGTGGTGACTGCTGGAATGAAGTATGTGCTAATGAGATAATGGGCATGACCGTTTTCATTTTTAGGCCAGTTTATGTTATGTCATTCTGTTTTTGAGCCAAAGGTAGGAACATTTTGAGACAACTATATTGGAAATGCATGTCTTTGCTTACTGATAGGGTAACCTGAAACTGCAGAATTTTATTTATTTGTTTATTTGTTTGTTTACTTATTTGAGTTGAAGTCTCCCTCTGTCACCCAGGCTGGAGTGGTACCCACTGAAATTATGGATATATATTTTTTTTCCCGCAGAATAATACATATAACCTGTGGAAAATTTGGAAGTTAGAAGGAACAGAAAGACCCTTTAGTTCCCATCCCTGAAGATGATCAAAAAAGAGTATTTTTGTTTGTAAAACATATTTTGTTTGTAAAATATTTTGTTTGTAAAACATATAGTTTATTATTTTATAATTATTTCTTTACAAATACCTTTTGTTTTGAGTGGGGCCCTCACTTTGTCACCTAGGCTGATTGCAGAGGCATGATCACAGCTCACCACACCTTGACCTCCAGGGCTCAGGCAATTCTTCTACCTCAGTCTCCCAACTAGCTGGGACTACAGGTGTGCACCATCACACCTAGCTAGGTTTTCTGTTTTTTTGTAGAGATGAGGTCTTGCTATCGTCTAGGCTGATCTTAAGCTCTTGGGTTCAAGCCATCCTCCACGTCTGCCTCCTAAAGTGCTAGGATTATAGGCATGAGCCATTGTGCCCAGCCTACGTTATTTTTTGTTTCTCCATTTTCACTGAAGGCTTTTATTAACTTATTTATTTATTTACTTATTTACTTACTTATTTGAGTTGAAGTCTCACTCTGTCACCCAGACTGGAGTGCAGTGGCACGCTCATGGCCACCTCAGCCTCAACCTGCTGGGCTCCGGCGATCCTTCCGCCTCAACCTTCCAAGTAGCTGGAACTACAGGCGCGCGCTACCACATCTGGCTATTTTTAAAAAATTTATTTATTGTAGAGATGAGGTCTCGCCAAGTTACCCAGGCTGGTCTCGAACTCGTGGGCTCAGGCAGTTCTCTCACCTCAACCTCCCAAAGTGCTGGGATTATAGGCGTGAGCCACTGGCCCTGGCCTGAGATTTTTAGGCATGAGCCACTGCCCCTGGCCTGAAAAAGACTCATGTAAAGTTAGGAGAAGCCATCCTTAAAATTCATATTTGATACTTTCCTTTTCTTAACTCCCCTCAAGCCAGATACCAAATCTTACTGACTTTCTATTTCTTTTTTATTCCCATTGCATTACCTTAGTTGAGATCATTATTATTTCTTTTCTGTAGTACTTCACTTGAAGCCAAATTTTTAATCTTCATAGTGGTTTGAGGGAAAGGAAGAGAACTAATATTTAATGATTTAATGAGTGTCTCCCATGAGCCTGCTGCTATGGTGGATACTTCACATGCGTTACTACATTTTATTTCATCTTTATGTTGATCTGATGACTCTGAGAGGAAATGAATAGACCCATTTTGCAGATGAAGGGAACAGTCTTAGGGAAATAAAAGAATGTACCCACAGTCCTGCAGTTCATACGTGGTGGCTCTGTGTATTCCATACTTCCTTGGAAGGCAGGCATTGCAATGCAGTGTGGTAAGTGATTGTAACAGAAATCTGGACAGCATGCTGTGTGAGTCACTATCTGCTAGAGGAGTCATCCAAGGCTGTAGAGAGGAGGGTACTCAAAACTGGTCTTGCACGTAAGCGACATGAAGACAGGGGCTTTGTCTGGTTCACTTACCACTGTATTCCTGTCCCTGAATTGGTGTCTGGCACATGGTAAGTGCTTGATAAATATTTTTAAAAATTGATTAACAGATGGATACATGTTAATTGAATGTAGGCAGAGTTAGCAACACATGCAAAAAGGCAAGGCTGTAAAAAGACCTGTAGTGTTGAAGCCGGACGTGGTGGCTCAGTCCTATAATTCCAGCACTTTGGGAGGCAGAGGAGAAAGGATTGCCTGGGTTTAGGGGTTCGAGACCAGCCTGGGCAACTTAGCAAGACCCCATCTGTACAATAAATCAAAAAAATTAGCTGGGCGTGGTGGTGCATGCCTGTAGTGCTACTTGAAAGACTGAGGCAGAAGGATCACCAAAAAAAAAAAAAAAAATTAAAGGCCGATGGTGTTTAGGGACTATTCTGGTAGGACAAATAAATGCATCAGCCTGATTGATAGTAATTCAATAACATAGTCTTCATTTACCATTTATAGCTTTTAAAATCAATTTAGATCGATTTCTATTTTGTGAAAAAGAATTTATCTTAAAATTATGTGAGTAAAAAGTAATATTTGTGACCTCAAATTGTCATGCTCTCTTTATAAAATGATACAAGAATTGAACTCATGGACTTGCAAAAGATGAAGGACTTGAAGTAACTCCTGGTACTCCTTATCCCTTAAGAAGAAATGCATGTGTATGTCTAGTATGAGAAATCCATGTATCACCTTTTTTTCTTTCAGTGACACTGGTACAGTAGCTCCAGAAAAATGCTTGTTTGGGGCAATGCTGAATGTTGCTGCAGTTTTATGTAAGTAATGGGAGTGGTGCTACAGTATTTTCTTCTTTAAATACTACTGTGTTATTTGTTTTACTTTGTAGTTATACTTGAGGGAATGTTGTCACTAAATTATCTTTGATCACAATTATGCTCCTTTTAAAAGAAAAACACTTTTATAGAAATGCTCAATTTAAAATAAACCTTTAAAAATATCTGTAGGTCTGTTTGACTACTGATTCAAATGAAAGCTGCCAAGTATAAGCTAATATTCCTTAAGGCCTTATGTGAACCTCTTAGGCAATTAGTAGGGAACGAAGAATTATAGACAAAAGTGACCTCAACTAACCCCACCTAAATTCTTTTGGGATAAGCAGTGTAGATGTTTGAGAACAGAGACAGAACCATGTTTTCATTTCTGAGTTATATTCTAATGCTATCGGTGTGAAGTTTCTGTTTATTTTGACCAAAATTTTTATCAGTGTTTTGTTAAAATATAGATTTTTCCATCATGTGGGATTGTTTTAAATATGTGAATTCTTCCATATGATCTTTATTATCAAAAATAGAAATCTGAAAGATTTTTCAAACAGAAATTTGTCTTGACTAAATTTTTCAGAAACATGTCTTCAAAAGCATATCTCTGTTATGTTTTCTACACTGCTGAGTTCTTTGGTAATACTTCTGTAATGGAAATTTTTGTTTGGCCTGTTCTTGACTATTAAGTATGGTAGAGTCAGCTTTTTTTTTTTCCTATGTGACTGGCTACTGTATCTGATTGAGCCAAGTTATAATTTGAAATAAAATGAGAGTGAGGCACGTAAGCTTTTGAATTTTTTTTTTCTTTTTTTGCCTGTTCCAATTTTATCCATATACTAGGTCCATATGCTAGGTCGATTGTGATAGTAATCATAGAAATATTTAGTGCTTTAATGACTCTTATTAGAAATTTTCAGAAGTCATACAACTTATTGCTTACGTTTTATCCTATATATTTGTAAATGTGAGACCCATGGAAGACAAATGATTTGCTCTGTCATGGGGAAATATCGGTAATTCCGTAATGCAACCTCGAGGTTCTTAAAAGTCCACAGCATGAGCCTGGCACAGTGGTATGTGCCCACAGTCTCAGCTACTTGGAAAGCTGAGGCAAGAGGATCCCTCACCTCTTAAAAAAGAAAAAAAAAACTATAGCTGTTATTAGTATTATTTTTTTCTCTCAGATTAACTTTAAAAGGAAAATCTGTGGTTCTGGATAGCAGTGACCTTTGTAAACTCTTCATTGGCAACTTTATTTCTTGGTTATTTATTGCTTTGTTGTTTTTTGGATTGTCTCTTCCCAGGCATTGCTACCATTTATGTTCGTTATAAGCAAGTTCATGCTCTGAATCCTGAAGAGAACCTTATCATCAAATTAAACAAGGCTGGCTTTGTACTTGGAATACTGAGTTGTTTAGGACTTACTATTGTGGCAAACTTCCAGGTTTGTGTTTTAGTCCAGCATAGGTATTTTCCTGAAGTACATAAATATACATATTAAAAGGGAACCCTGAAACATTCAGTTACATGCTGTTATTGTTTCTTTTCCTCGACAAAGTAAAATTCACTACTTTAAATTATTTGACCCTCTTAGGAATATCTGTATTCACAATTAGAAAAATTCATATTTAATTATCTGAACAAGTATAAATTCTGTTTTTTAGGATCCACAGGATAATTATTAGACTAATTATCACTACTTAGTTGGAGATTACTTCAACTCAATATTCAAAGAGCATTGGTATAAATTATAAGTGACATAATTACAGATTTAAGCAGTTTTGTTTTGTTTTTAATGTGCCTAACAAGTTAATTTACCAATTTTATCTACTTGTTTGGATGTTTTCATTGATTGCCTGCATTCCTAGCCGCCCAGCCTTGTTTATGAGGAAATTAAGGGAGGATCCTTGCCTCTTGTAGCTTTTTCTTAGGGAATGATAATGTTAAATACTTAAAGTAGCAGTCAGTCTTCACCAAATATTTGTCAACTCTCTGTGAAGAGAGCATTAAGGAAGAGGGATTAGGCTCAACTCCAAAAACAAGGAAAAGTGGGAATTTATAACTAAAGAGCAGGGTTGGGTTGGGAGTCGGGATGGAAAATTACTGATCTGGAAACATCAGGGAGGGATTCTGGTCAAACTGTGTTAGCCCATTTGGTGTTTCTATAAAAAATACATGAAGCTAGGTAATTTATAAGTAAAAGATGTTTATTTGGCTCACAGTTCTGCACGCTGTACAAGAGGCCTGGCACCACCATCTGCTTCAGGTGAAGGTCTTACTTCCACTTATGGTGGAAAGCAAAGGGGAGGCAGAATGTGCAGAATTTGCATGGCAAGAGAGGAAGGGAGTTGTCAGACTACTTTTAACAACCAGCTCTTGCAAGAAATAGTAGAGTGAGAACTCACTACTCCTACCTCACTTGTGCATTAATCTATTCGTGAGGTATACACTCCCATGACCCAAACATCTCCCAATAGGCCTCACCTCCAACATTAGGTATCAGATTTCACTGTGAGATTCAGAAAGGTCAAACGTCCAAACTGTAGCACTTACCTCATAGGATTCTTGCTGAAGGCAGACCAGGGTCATTAGACATCACTTGGGGCCCTCACCCGAAGGTTGAAGAACTCAGATATGGAGAGTGATCAGATATTGCGGATGGGGGTTTCTGTCTAAACTGACTTAGCAGGATTCTTGCTAAAATTGGGCAATGCAGAAATAACCCTGGAAACCCAGAAGTGGAAGCTAGTTGAGAATAGAGTTCAGAGGAACCTGAGTAGTGTTTGCTCAAGTAGTCAAGGAGAGAATTTTTGTCATCTGACAGTGACTCACATCATCCCTTGGATGTTCTTTGCTAGATGGGGATGGGTGCAGGTAGGCTGGGAAAAAATGTAGCTTTGTTGGGCCTTAGTTCTCAGTAGCAACTTTAAACTATGAAAAGTGATCAAAAATTGTGTTGGGCCGCTAGCTAGCTAGCTAGCTATACTATGAGTCCTGCCTTCCTGAATAAGTTTCTGTAGCTTAGTGATAGAAAATATTTTGGGAACTTTTTAGTGAATAGGTGGTGTTTCTCTGCTGTAGTTGTCTCTTGATCAATTTAACAGAATCTTTCATGACCTGTATGGTAAAAGTGAATCTCAAATATTTGTTTCCACAACCCAGTGAATTCTAATAGTTCCTGACACCCACACAAGCTACCTGTCCACCTTTATCTTATTCAGTTAAGATACTTGATATACTTTGCTGTTGTATTTTTGGCTTTCATTCATTTACCTTCACCCTAGGAGTCCCTTTGGCCTTGTAATTTTGCTTCAAATTACTTTTTCTCTCATGACGTCATCTCTCATGATGTCATCTCTCCATGCAACTTTATATGTCCTCCTCATCTTTCATTGATGGCTTCATTGTTGGGCTCTGTTTATAAGCATACCTTGTAGCATTACCTAAATGTCAAACAGCTTTCCTTCCTTTCTGATACAAACTTTTGCTCTTTATTTAAAGCGGTGAGTGCACTGCTGCCTCTTTCCCACTTTTATTTTACAGAGACAATCTTTAGTTGATTTATACAGAAACTAGGTCCATAAGTGGTTTGCTGTTATAGATCTTGACTTGGAAGAGAGGCTAGCACTGTGTTTTAAATGAATACTTATGACTTTACCACTTTAGTATTTCATGAACACACACATCTGCGGCTTGTTTCCGTTTCCATCTTTACTTCCCTCCTGATCATTTTTTCAGCCAGTTTAAATCTCATCATTTCTCATCTAAATTACTGCCTTAGCCACCACAATTATTTCTCTGCATTCACTTTCACATTCCTTTAATCATTTCTTCATATTGCAGCCAGAGTGATCTTTTGGAAATGTGTATACATCTCACTTTGCTTCCCTGTACCCTTGCTTAAAGCTCTGTAGGTTCCAAAATTGCATGAAGGAAGATGTAAACAATAGAGGAAATAATAACTGGATAAACTGCCAAACTTCCTAATTAACTCAAAAATTTTGTGTCATCTGGTTCATGTCTACCTTTCCAGTCTTATTCTGCATCATTTCCCTTCTTAATTTCTCCATTGTATATGTATCGCTGGTCTTTTTTGTTCCATAAATAAGACAAGCTTACAAGGGGGAGACCTTTCCCCAAAAAACAGAATTATCTTTTTTGTAGGGCAGGCTTTTTATAATGCTCTTGGAATTTGTTTCTCCGATCAAATGGTCAGCCAAAGTTTTTAACTGGAATTTTTGAGAAGGTTGCATCATGATTTGCAGAAGAAACATTCCAAGTTATGGCAAACAGGTGACTGGTACTTCTACCATGGCAACATACCTGCTTACAGCAGTTTTTGACCAAAAACAGCATGCCCCTGTGTTCAGCAGTGTTTGACCAAAAACAACATGGCCCTGTGCCCCACCCTGCCTATTTGGTCTTGTCCTGAGTGACTTTTTTTGTTTCCCTGGATGATGAAAGTCCTCAAAGGGAAAATTTTGCCAGTGCAGAAGAGGTGAACCAAAAAACGGTAGAAGCACTGAAAGGCATCAAAAACTATTTTGAGAAGTGGAAAAAGCATCTTGATAAGTATATTACATCAGAGAGTTCTTTGAAGGTGTCTGAAGTTTAAACATGTAAGAATAAATACACAATTTTTTATAAATTTGGTTTTTTGGTGCGTCCCTCCCCCATATTTAACTCCTTTTTCCTATACTGCTTCCTTCTGTGTAGTTTGCCATGACTTCCAAGCCTAAATAGACTTAGTCATGCTTAAGCTCTTAGTGCATGCTATACTTCATTGAAATGTTTTCTGTCGGCTGGGCGCAGTAGTTCACGCCTATAATCCCAGCACTTCGGGAGGCCGAGGTGAGAGGATTGCCTGAGTCCACGGATTTGAGACCAACCTAGGCAATTGGGCGAGACCTCATCTCTATAATAAATCAAAAAATTAGCCAGGCATGGTGGCACATGCCTGTAGTTCCAGCTACTTGGAAGGCTAAGGCAGAAGGATCACCTGAGCCCAGTAGGTCGAGGCTGCGGTGTCCGGGAGCAGGCCACTGCCCTCCAGCCTGGGCGGCAGAGTAAGACTCTGACTCAAAAAAAAAAAAAAAAGAATAGAAAAAGAAATGTTTTCTGTTGCTACAATATATTTTAAATTTTCTTTTTTTGTGTGTTCTCTAAGCCTCTGGAAACTGGTTTTTCAGAGCTTTTATTACAGTCTAATTTTATATCAATGTATTTTTTGATTTTTAGATGATATATTTCTCCATTAATTATAAGCATGGTGGTTTTGTTCACCACTTTCTCCACCACCTGTTGTATTGATATTCAGTGGTCTCTTTTGTCTATCTCAGAATCTTTCCCTGAATTTCCCTAGTCTTCAAAATGACAGTATTAAATGCATGAAGCAAGATACTGACAGTTAAAACAGTTTTGTGTACCTCCATTTCAATAATGAAAATATAGTAAATACTCTCCTTTATTTTTACTTTTGAATTCTCAGGATTTTGTTGATGGAACTCTGTACTGACTACAACTCTGTATCTGTATTTAGCTCTATCAATATATGTGAAAGTATTCTTAAAGAGGAAAATTCATCCATATTCCTGCTCTTACCACTAAAATAGTTGATTTCACATTTGACAATTTTTTAGTCTTTATTCATATGTATAGATGAATTCACATAATTATGAACTGAGAAGAGACCACTATTTTGTATTATGTTTTATGGGTGCTGAATTTTTTTTTTATCCTCTGTTACCCAAGGTAATAATAATATCTTATTTCCCTTCCCAATTGTCATATTTTATTGCCAGTTATAGCACACCAAACTATATACAGGTATGGTTTCTTTCCAAAAAGGAACCAATGGCTTTGATGAGTAAGCTGTAATATTTTATTTCTTTATACTAGGAATCTTCTTTAACCTTCAACTAGGAAAATTGGGCTGTGTTTGTGAATTAGCACAGTTAATTATAAAAGAAGGGAATCCAGCTCTATCCTTTCTTCTCTTGTTATTTTAGTCATTAATTACCCTGTGTGCAAAGTGTTAATACAGTACCTTCTCAAACAAAAGACAAATGATGCTGGTTGAGAAAAACCTTTGCACAATTTTTGGACACCAATCATTATCACCTTTAAACAGAGTTTATATATAATATTAAAAAGCAAAATGTAAATAGATACCTATAGGAAGAATGAGGTAAAGGAGAAAAAGCTTATAATTTATGTTCCCTTGTTGCATTATCAAAACCAATCAAGCTAGAGCCAAGAGAGGCTGTTTTAATTTCTTGAGTCTTTAAATTTTCTTTAAATTTAAAATGGATTTAAATGGAAACTCCCTATTCCCAGCACTCCAGGCCATCCTAAGCCTCTACATTTTGTACTACTCTTTTTTTTATAACCCTTATCACGGGATACACTGGAATATCCTCATTTCTAAAGTTTATTATTTATTGTTTGTGTGTCTTCACTTAATTTAATGAGGGATAGATTTTTGTTTTTATTCACTAAGGTATCTGAAGACTTAGAACAGTGCCTGGCATCTAATAAACATTATTAAATGAGTAAAAAAAAATTATCATATTTTCAGTGATGTCATATGAAATAGTTTGGTTTTACTGTAATCTTCAGGTTTATGCCTAGTATCATAAGAGAAAATTTCAAGAAGTAATTTGCTTGTAGAATCTACTGAGCTTCTGCACAGTGAATGTCTTGTTGAAATATCTGACTTGTGCTTTTAAATATTGTTTTGCCAGTATGTTCTGAGTTTCTTTTAACTTCTTCTTTCTACCTATTAGAAAACAGCCCTTTTTGCTGCACATGTAAGTGGAGGTGTGCTCACCTTTGGTATGGGTTCATTATATATGTTTGTTCAGACCATCCTTTCCTACAAAATGCAACCCAAAATTCATGGCAAACAAGTCTTCTGGATCAGACTACTGTTGGTTATCTGGTGTGGAGTAAGTGCACTTACTAGTATCCTTCACTGTAAAATGTGGCTATGCTTGGAAGAGAATTGATTAACTGAATACTATTGGCACGTTGTAAACAGTTTTTTTTTGTAGAAGAGATTCTTAGGTTATTAACACTAACCTAAACAATTTGAAATATTAAATTCAGATTGTAGGTAGGACCTCAGTAATTGAGCCAGGAGAAAAGATAATGTTTAGCCTGATCATACTCACTTAAAAGATAGAAAGGGGGAGTAATACCCTTTCTAAGAACTAATACCTAGCAGAAGTTTATGATACAACTACTCATTTTTGGAGCAAAGAGGAGGGGATTGACTTTGAGAACCATTTCATAGTAATTCTCTGGGCACATTTTTAGTTTTACAGTACTACTGCCAGGTAACATTGATTCTTGAAGAAAATGCGTTTGGATCTTGTCAATAAGTGTATGAGTAATTCTTTTGGACCTCGAAAGTTATTTTTGTTTGGAATTTAATTTAAAATTACAGATTTTCTCTGAGATTCCTCCTTGACTTATTTTTTTTATAGTGCTGACTTTCTCATCAATTTTGTACAGTGGCAATTTCGGGGCTGATATAGTACAGAAACTCCACTGGAACCCTGAGGACAAAGTAAGCACACAGAGTCTATAAAACTTAGTTTTATATTAGGGATTGCTATTATGGCTGATTTCGATGTATTATTCATTTCATCATTTAACAATGAGATTCTTTTGGTAGAATAATCAGTTTCATATTAGGATTATTTTCTAGATATGATAGGGTTTATGTAGAATCATCCGTATTCTATTGTCACTTGTGTCTATGGCTGTTTTCAAGATATGAAGAGAATTGTGACTACAAAAGCGTTTCCTCAGAAACTGACTCCCCTTAATGTGGATAAAGTATACAATATACCCAGTTGAGCTCGTTTGCTTTTAGAATACTTCTTTTCTGAATTTAAAAGATGTTTTCTCTCATTTTTTGTTATCTGGAAATTTATTGTGATCTTTGTATTTGGGTTTCAATATAGCAGATATCTGAATGGAGACAGCATCTTTGATCTAGAGAATAAAAGAGGAGGGACATATAATAATATAATGAATTCATCATTTTCCACAATTTACTCACTGGCATTTTATTTTAAGTAATTTTTACATAATTAACTCTGAATTGAACATGTTTATGAAAATGAATGAATGAAATCATTTACTAGATTCTCCTAATTATGACCTGAATGTATTTAGTACGGAAAATTTTTTTTTAAAAAGCTTATCCCGAGGCCAGGCATGGTGGCTCCCTCCGGTAATCCCTGTACTTTGGAAGGCCAAGGTGAGAGGATTGTCTGAGCCCACAAGTTCGAGACCAGCGTAGGCAACTTGGCGAGACCTCATCTCTACAATAAATCAAGAAAAATTAGCCGGGCATGATGGTACATGCCTGTAGTTCCAGCTACTTGGAAGGCTAAGGCGGAAGGATCACCTGAGCCCAGCAGGTCGAGGCTGCGGTAGCCGTGAGGGTGCTACTGCACTCCAACCTGGGCGACAGAGTGAGACTCTGACTCAAAAAAAAAAAAAATTATCGTGAGCATTTTTAAACTTTCCTTAGTGACATTGTATGAATCTTATGGCTGTGGGAAAGGCAATTGTAATTCCTCAATTGCAGAGTAGAAATTCTCTTGCTCTGTCTTATTTAAATGGAAATTTTATTTGTTCTGGGTAAAATGAAGTTAACTAGTATCATTTAGGAGGACTTCCTAATGTCTACTCTTTAATTCTGGAGTTATATTCAGTAAGTCAGGGGTTGATTTGCAGGAGGCAGATTGGCTTATAAGAATTACAGTTTTTTAAATTTGAGAAACAATACTAGATCGTTTGAATAAAATTTCACAAAACTATTCTTTTTTTCCCCCCATCACTCAAGGGTTATGTTATTCACATGATTACTACGGCAGCAGAATGGTCTATGTCACTTTCCTTCATTGGTTTTTTCCTGACTTACATTCGTGATTTTCAGGTAAGAAAACACAGAATTCGATTTATGCAGTCAAACTTCCTTCAGGTGGAATAAGAGAACTTTACATAGTCAAGTATCCAGCCTTCTTGAAAAGTACCTGTTTAAAATTTGGCACCATAAACAATGATGTAACTTTTCAAGTCAATTTTTTCTGTGTTTGGCGAAGTAGTGTATTACTAGCAAGATTTAATCTTGAAAATGGGATTATAAAGCAGATTTCAAGAAATCCTTTCATTATACATTTATATAGACCATCCTCAACATTTAGTTTTACTGAGTCTTAGTAGGAACCAAAGAAAAACAAGGAACTTTCCAAAGAAAAAGTTAGAGAAGCTTGGTTTTCACAGATTAATTGGTACTAAAGATGATGCCTTTGGTAGTGCAGCAGCTGCTCCCTCTTGTTACCCATGAGAATTGATTGACATTTCTAATCACCACTCTACAGATCATACTGAAGAGGTGATCTCTCTTTAAAGAACAAACTTCTACATGTAATTTTCTTTTCTGTTCCAGAAAATTTCTTTACGGGTGGAAGCCAATTTACATGGATTGACCCTCTATGACACTGCACCTTGCTCTATTAACAATGAACGAACACGACTACTTTCCAGAGATTTTTGATGAGAGGATAAGATATTTCTGTAATAATTATGATTCTCAGGGATTGGGAAAAGTTTCACAACATTTGCTTATTCTGCTCTGAAATTTTCAACTAATTAATCAAAGCTGACTAATATTAATCAGGAAACATGAAATAAGCCATTTGATTTATTTTAAAGAATATCATCAACCTACATTTTTATCCAAGAGAACAAAACCAAAGGACTGTGAAATTGTAGTTTTTTCTACTTTTAAGAGAAACAACCTGAAGTGCACAACCGAACCTTTCATATTTTGTAAATCATTTTAAAGCATGCTTTGTTGAGAGCACTTTTATGAGAGACATTTTCCATGACTCCAAATAATCAGCATTGGGCAGTAAATCTTTTAGAATCAGGTTTTGAAGTAAGAGTTTAATATATTTCTTACAGTCTTAAAAAATTTATTTTTGTTCTGGAATCTACTTATAAAGGGAAGCAGACTTTGATTCATGTAAGTTTTCTCCTGGTTTAAGCTTTGCCCACAATTCTGTATGTATTTTTTTTTCTAGCCACAAGGTCAGATACTATGCTAATTGATCTGTCACAGATGCTTGCATGGTTTCATGAATCTTAGTGTCTGGTATGAGGTTTTAATCACCAGTGGAGAAAAGAGGTACTTATAGGTAAATTTGCTCCAATCGTATTTTATATAAAACAAGGGTATTCATACTTAAGGCTGATAAGTTTGTGAATAACAGCAATTCTGATTAATATCAAACAAAAGTCACCCCAACTGCAATCAAGATTTTCATTTGTAGCAAATTGTAGTTACTTGTAAAAGTTGTGTTGAACAGGTAAATATTGGGTCTTTTTAATGGGCTATAACCTTTGTATAGTCTGAATTTTAAAGAGCAAAACCAAAAATCTAATAAAAACTAGATACAAAATAATTGTGATACGTGCATTTACCAAAACAATTTTCTCTTTTTTTTCTGCTCTTGCAAGTAATTGAATGGGTTCTGTGCAGATAAAGAATAATTTACAGACCCATGATGCAATTAAAAAGAGAAAAATGTCCATCTGGAAAGTGCCCAGTGGCAAACTGATTTGCAAAATAATCTTTGAAGAAAATTAAAAAGGCTTATCTTTTAGAAGAGATGACTTCATGACCAGGTGAAAAGGTGGTGAGAAAAAGTGTCAAATGTGTGATGGAGCAGTTTATTGAAAGATGCTTATATGATAGAGACCTTGATTATGTATAAGTTGCAAGACATAGGACTGAGTAAATATTATTTTTGAAGACTTCTGGACTAATAAGACAGAAAGTGAAATAAAATACCATACCTGTATTAAGCAGCAGTGAACATGGGAGATATTTCAGTAAACACTGATTGAGTAAATGCTGACATCACTAAAAATCGTTTGGATACAAACTATAAAAAAAGTATCATGCCTTTGAAAATCTTGGTGCTATGACACCTGTGAAATATCATCCAGTCCTGATTGCTGTATCAGGAAAACTATAATTCAAGTTATGGAGGATCGTAGTATGGTGAGAAGGAAGTTGATAGAATCAAAGTTCATAAGTTATAAATTATATGTTGGGGTGGTAGCTCATGGAAAAATACAGACTTGTTTATTCCATTTCTAGAATAGCTTAGAGATACACACCAACACATTAGCGAAATTGTCTTTGATATCTTAATTCCATTAGTTAAATTTTACCTTTAGAAATACCAAAGGGTAAAATATTAATACAGCATTCCCCTCCTTATCCACTGTTTAGCTTTCTGTGTTTTTGATTTTTGTGGTCAACCATAGTCTGAAAAGATTAAGCAAATCATTCCAAAAGCAAACAGCTCCCACCAGGACATGAATTATCCTTTTGTCCAGTGTTCCCATGCTGTATGTGCTACCCATTCGTCATTTAGATAACTATCTCAGTTATTAGATTGACTGTCATAGTATTGCAGTGCTTATATTAAAGTAGCCCTTAATCCTTAATAATGCTCCCAAATTGCAAGAGTCATGGCATTGGCTTGTTATAATTGTTCTCTTTTGTTAGTTATTGTTGATTTCTTACTGTGCCTAATTTATGAATTAAACTTTATCATAGATAAATATGTATGTATAGGAAAAGCAATATATAGAGAGTTCTGTACTATCTGTGATCTCAGACATCTGCTAGGCGGCTTGTATCTTATCCCCATGGATGGGGGGGGCGCTGCTGTAGCTCAAGAAGGGATTATATAAGTAAGTAGAAATCTGGAACCATGTGTTCATTTCTAACCTTAAGGCTGAAGTAATGAAGGCAACCATGCTCTCCCTCAAAACATGCCAATGTCAGATATAGTAGTTTGGATAAACAGAATCAGCATTCTTCTTCAAATCAATCAACATATTTATGTTAATTGTTTACCTTTCAGAGTAAGATGTCTTAAGCTAACAAAGTTGGCAGATACTGTGACCTAATAGTAAAAAATCAATTTCCTTTTGGTCCTGGGTATAAGAAAGACTACGTTTCCTAGCCCCATTTGCAATTAGTCTCATAGGAATGAGACTGAATTTTAGAAAATGGAGTGAATGTATTTGCTATTTTCATATTAAGGTTTTTTTGTTTTTGTTTTTGTTTTTTGAGTTGGAGTCTCACTCGGTCATCCAGACTGGAGTGCAGTGGCCGCTCCCGGCCACCGCAGCCTCGCTTGCTGGGCTCCAGCGATCCTTCTGCCTCAGCCTTCCGAGTAGCCAGAATTACAGGCATGCACTACCACGCCTAGCTGATTTTTTGATTTATTGTAGAGATGAGGTCTCGCTGCCCAGGCAGGTCTCGAACCCGCGGGCTCAGGCAATCCACTCACCTCAGCTTCCCAAAGGCGCGGGATTACAGGCTGAGCCACCGAGCCTGGCTCATATTAAGGTTTTAAGAAACAGGAATGCTATCTCAATTTTTTTGTATTTGTATCAATTGGATATTGATGACCAGATTGTAGCTGATAGTGAAATCACAAAGTAGAAAGAGCCTGAACTAGTCTACCTTTAATCAGATCTTAGAAATCTAAACCTAAGATCTAGCATAATTTAGGAACTTATTTTCTGTTCATCTAAGTTATGAAGACCATATTATTTTATGTTACCTGAAAGGTGTCATATGTTGTAAGTGCTCAGTGAAATCACAAGATAGAAAGAGCCTGAACTAGTCTACCTTTAATCAGATTTTAGAAATCTAAACCTGAGATCTAACATAATTTAGGAATTTATTTTCTGTTCATTTAAGTTATGAAGACCATATTATTTTATATTGCCTGAAAGGTGTCATATGTTGTAAGTGCTCAATGAATCTATAAAACAGAAAGATAACTGCTCATCTCTTCTGCAGTGTCCAGGATAGATTCACTGCGCAAAATGAAAATTCTGAAAATATTGACTTATTAGTACCTTTGTGAATCTCATGATGTATATTCTTCCTGTTTTCAAACAATAGAGTGCTGAGTTCTGTGTTTTTTACAATTGATTAATTTTGAATTAGAATCTCACTTTGTGGCACAAGCTGGAGTACAGTGGCAAACTCATAGCTCACTGCAGCCTCAAAACTCCTGGGCTCAGGTGGTCCTTCCATCTCAGCCTCTCATGTAGTTAGGACTTCAGGTGCATGCCACCACACCTGTCTAAAGTTTTGATTTTTTGTAGAGATGATGTCTTTCTGTGTTGCCTAAGCAGACTCAAACCCCTGGGCTCAAACAATCCTTTCATCTTGGCCCTCCAAAGTGCAAGGCTTATTGGTGTGAGCCACTGTTTCCAACCCAGAGTGCAGATTTAAGAAAAGGTGTACTCATTTATTAAAAGGTAAGAATAAAAACAGACCTAAAACAAAAAGTATTTTGAGGCATTATGGTCTTAACAGTGTAAGCAACTGTATCTTCCAAACAGCATGTTAATATGACTGAAAGTTTGCCTTTGGTACACAAATCAAGGACCTGAGTAGATTATAAGGAGAATAAACCAGAAATTCTAAAATATGCAATTGTGGTTAGTACAGAAACAAATCTCATGTTGTTTCAGTTGGCTGCTCAGCTAGAAAACAGAAATAACATTACCAATGCTCATATCTCAATTTCTGCTCAAAGGAAATCCTGTTCATTAACTCAGAATATTTGAAAAGCTTGATAAAGTGAATCAAATTGCAGCTTCAGTAAAGTCTAACTGCTCCTCAACTGTAGATCAGATTTATTTAGCCTTATCCTCTATAAGCCTGGCAAAAGATGGGGTATGCTCCTTTCTGGAGATAACTATTATTTGTTTTTATACCTACTGTCCTTTCATAGAAAATATTCAGCACACAGTAAAAAAAAAAAAAAAAAAAAGTAAGACATGCAAAGAAGCAGGAAAATTTGATTGAAAGAGGAAATAGTCAATAGAAGCAAACTGAGAGATTGCCCAGATGTTTGAATTATTAGGCATTAACAATGATAAAAATGCCTAAAGATCTAGTAAAACAAAGTAAAAAACATGCATGAAGAGAGAGATTTTCAGCAGATACATGGGAATTTTTAAAAAGTACAGAAGTCTAGATATGGATATAATCTAAGATCACATAGAGGAAAGGATCAATAAACTTAAAGGGAGGGCAGTTGAAAGTATACAAACTGCAGGCATGGTGACTCACACCTGTAATCCCAGCACTGGGGGAGACTGAAGAAGGATTGCTTGAGCTCAGGAGTTCAACAGCAGCCTGGACAACATAGGAAGACCTTCTCCCTACAAAGAAAAAAAAAATTTAAAAATTAGCCAACGTGATGATATGTGCTTGTAGTCCCAGCTACTCTGGAGGCTGAGCCGGAAGGATTATCTGAGCCCGGGAGGTCAAAGCTGTGGTGAGTTGTGATCATGTCACTGCACTCTAGCTTGGGTAACAGAGTGAGACCCTGACTCAAAACAAATCACAAGGAAAGACATTGAGGAAGATGGGAAATACAGTTTTACAGTATCTACCATACTCCTCCTCAGCCCCAAGCAACACACAGCAGGGAGGAAAAAGTACAGGGAACTTTGCCTTGCAATCAGGTACCAGCTCATATACCTAATGTAAGGCACTAGAAGGAATCCTTAAGCCTCTGATTCCAGGCCACTGCTCCTAGATGGCACCTGGAACACCCCTGGCAAGAAGGGAATCTGCTCTGGTGGATGGACTCAAGTCCTACTGTGCTTCCTTTGTTCACTCAAGTGGCATTCATGCAGTAACAGCCACTGGCTTTGGTACTTTGCTCGTCTGGGAGGCTATATAGTTTGCATGTGACCATGGGAGTGCTTGCATCACTCTACCCTTAGCACCAGGCAGCCAGTTCCAGAGATGGACTCCTTTTGCTTGAAGAGAAGACAGAAGACAGTGAGAGCGTTTGCCTGGGAAATCAAGGAATCCTCCCTCATCTCCCCCAAATTTATCAGGGTTAGCTGTCTAGGAGTCCACAGGAATTACAGTGTACTTGGGTTTACAGTACCTACCAGTCCAGAAATGGCTGCAGTGACTACAGGCTTAGGTAATTGAACTCCCAATCCTGATTTAATTCTTGAAGAGTTCTCTGAGATAGGGCAGGTACAAACAATGTTGAACTGTGAAAACTGGAACAGATCTCTAACTCTTCAATGCTCACACATTGAGGAATGTCCACAAGCATCAATAACATTCTGGAAAATATGACCTCACCAAATTATTAAAACACCAGTGACCAATCCTAGAGTGATTGAGATATATGCCTTCTGATGCAGGGGGTCTCAATTATTTGTTTTAAGGATGCTCAGCAAACTTCAGTGAAACACAGAGAGCGAATTAAGAATCATATCAAAGGGATTTAACAGATTGAAATAATTTTTAAAAATCAAATCTTGAAACAAAAGATACAGTTGATAAGTGGGAAAATTAATAAGAGTATCTCAACAGCAGCAGACTTGATCAAGAAAAAGAACTAATGAACTCAATGACAAGCTATTGGAAAATACACAAGCAGAGGAGAAAAAAATGAATAAGAAGTATGCTTTGAAGGTGTAGAAAACATCCTCAAAGAGGAAGTCTGAAAGTTATTGGTCTTAAAGAGGAAGCAGACAAAAAGATTGGAGTAAAGTTTATTTAACGATATAACAGAGAACTTTCCAAACTTAAAGATGTCAATAACCAAATACAAAAAGATCAAAGAGCACCAAGAAGATTCAACCCAAGTAAAAATAACACAAAGTATATAGTCAAGCTCCAAAAAAAGGTCAGGGACAAAAAAGAAAAATCCAGAAAGGAGCTTCAGTACATCTGATAGCAGGCTTCTCAGTGGAAACCTTGCAGGCCATGTGGAAGTGAGGTGAC